TTACAAGCTTGCACATGAATTTACTAATTTCCTTATTAATCCTAGTTTCATATTCATTAATTCTAGACATATGGTATAGTGGTCACATATCATATGAGGTTGATAATCAATAGATGTTCATGCTAATCAATTATCTTCCTATTAACAGAAAATTAATTATCATTCATACACAAGGTTCTTTAGCAAGCTAAAATAACAATAATTCACCAACTTGGAATTAATCCTACCAATCAATCAAATCATATTGTCAACTTTGTATCCCCAAACAGAAGTCTAAAGAATTTAGTTCATAACTAAGGTAAATAACAGCAAACAAATAAGTTCAAGTTGCTTAATCATGTTTGACAAAACAAAAGAATAAGTAGAATGATGAAATTAGCCTTAATTACTCCCGGAATTCGAATTCTAGCTTCCTTGGTCGACTTCTAGGGTTCTTCTGGCTTCTTATTCGCAGCAAGGCACTTCTGAAACTTCCCAGAATTCTCTTTTCTCGATTTGTGGAGTTATCTTTAAATATGCGTTCCGACTCGTCGATCAATGGTGACTCGTCGAGTCCCTCTCACATTCTTCGTATTGCGATAACTATCTTGACTTCCGAATCATTATCCTTCTGAATCCGCGACCGGACTCGTCGAGTCAAGGCTCGACTCGACGAGTAGAAGCCTTTTTTTGGGTGTTTTCCTTCTTCATTCCACTCTCGAGCTCCTAACCGCTTCTCTTGCTTCCTTTCGCTTCCGAGCTTCATCTTTGGACTGAAAAACATAATTTAACACTTTTAAGTACCTTTTGTCCATAATATGCAACAATTTAGCTAATATATGAATAAAAAACTATACTTAATACACACTAAATATGCACATATCAAAATACCCCACACTTGTCTTTTGCTTGCCCTCAAGCAAAACTGAATTTTAACACATTAGAATTATGTATAACAACTCCAATCTAACCCAGCCATTATGCCAAGACCGCAACGCATGCATTTGTGTCTAAAATTTTTCCTAAAGAACCCCCCATATTCCAAATACTCACAATCCTCATAAACATTCGCCCACTCACCCCGAACTATGCTCATTTTATGCAACCCTCGAATCCATCCTCAGAAAACCTCTTTACCCTCAAGGTATTTTTAATTGAGCAACCCAAGCATACATATTCTAGAATTACAACTTTTCGATACCACTATGGAATTCTTTGAATTCTTCACTTTCTTGATAATTTGATCTTTGATATCTTTGAATTCACCAACTTGTATTGACTTTTGGCATCTTCAACTTTTTGAATTTCTTGGAATTTTGATCTTTAGATCTTCACTTCATTTGCTCCAAAATTCTTACAATTTTTCTTGTAATTCTCTCTCTTTTTTTTACATGTATACCTCACTTTTTTCACTCAAATCCCTACATGCTTAAGCAGGGGCGCTCAATCTCAACCTTTATTGGCTAATGATAAAAATTTTCCTGGATACATTTCAGGTTTAGGCTGCTAAACATATTGCATCCCTCAGGCTGAGCGAGGTCGTGTTTTTGTCTCATGATTTCACTGAAATAAGGAAGCCACAAATGCACTAGAACGTATATAGGCTCAACTAAACATTTGGGTCTTCATGCAATTATTAACACAATTCTAACATGGAATCCTAATTTTTTACCAAAATTTTCTAAATTAAATCCTAAATAATACTTTTGGTATGCAATTTTTTTTTTAAATTGACTATTATGTAACCAACCCCCTACCCCACACTTATGTGATGCAATGCCCTCATTGCATATGATGCATAAAAACATAAAAAATAAAGAGGGAATTGGAACAAACTCCCCTGGGATAGCAGTGGATAGGTTGATCACTCTCATTTAAGCTCCAACTTCAATCAACTTTAGACATGGTAACATCTCATCCATGTCTTGGGTGTTTTGTCTCGTGTGGGTCGCTCCAAATATGCGAAAATCGGTGTAAGATCTTCAAGAATGGATATGGAAGAATAAGGAAGCAAGTGGTACAAGTATCAGCATCAAATCAGCAGTCCTTCGGCATAAAAATGAAACGACTCGTCGAGTCATATGGGGGACTCGTCGAGTAGCAGCACGCCGTCTCAGAATCTGTGGAAATACAAGGCGACTCGTCGAGTCAGCTTAGTGCACTCGACGAGTTGGCCACTGAACGAAAAATCTTGGTTTTGCAACTATTTTAGCCTCTAAAAACTTCTTTAACTCTTCCTCACGTTCGGACTCAATTGCTCATACCCCTAGGACCGGACTCGACACTTTCACGTTAAAATGCCGCTTCCTTGACTCGCTTTCACTCGCGAAAACATCCATTTGCTATATCTCTAAACCATCCTAAGCAAGCAATCCTAATTCAATCCTGAAAAATAACTAAAGCAAACAACCATTAAACATAATAAAATCTCAAAGCATACACACCAAATAAAAAAAAAACAAAACAAAAAAAATTTAATTGTTTGATTAAAAACACAAAAATATAAAAATCAATCTTCATCCTCCTCATCATCATTGGCGGCTCCACTTCGTCGCGCACCAATCCTCTCATCCCAAGATGGAATGAATGGGTAATTTCCACCATCAATATGTGGGATATTGAAGTGGTCAAAAAGTCGTATGTGGGATTGGTTGCTAAAGTTAAAAAAATTTCTGTTTATTATGAATCATTTCACCCCACACTTAGGCTATGCACACTCTCAAGCAGACATGCCCGATGATTTGGAAGATTAAGATTAAAAACGAAGGGAAAATAGAAAGAAAACTAAAAATTAAAAGAAAGCAAACTCTATATAACGGGTTGCCTCCCGCCAAGCGCTTCTTTTTGAGGAGTCATGAGCTAGACTCCTTCCCATCTACGTTTTGTCATCCTCGAGGATCGGGAACGCACACTTAACTTTTTGTGATTTGTACTTGGTCTTGTAAACGTGGATCTTTTTCTTGTAAGCCCTTTTTAATTCATCTCTTTTTCTTTTCATTGCTTCATCTTCAGCTGCTTGGGCTTCCCTTTTCCTCTTTTTCTTCTTCACCCCTTCTTTTTCACCGTTTTGAACCTCCTTTTCTTTAAATTTAATAACTTCACATTCCATGATGGTCCGTGCTCTAGGTTTAGTGGTGAATTGGTGATCAGCTTCCTCCTTCCTTTCCTTTATTTCTGCATCCTTTCCCGTGCTTAACCCTTCCTCAAATTGGACCGTATCAAGACATGCAACATTGGCGTATTGAACTCTCCTTTCCTTTCCTTTTTTTGCTGTTTGTTCTTCTAAAGACTCCTGTATATTACTGAAATCTAAGGTATGTGAAGGACTAGTAACAAGCGGATCCAAGTCGGCCAAGTGTTTGCCCAAATTGACTGGACTCGTCGAGTCCACTAGAGTGACTCGGCGAGTCGGTACGAATTCCCTAGAATCTTGGGTTTCTTCTGAGTGGGCTCCTTCCAGTA